TCCAGTGCTTTTGTCCTGCTGATGCAGGAAGGCCTTTTCTGAGCTTATTATTAAAGCATTTCCCCCAACTGCTGATTCAGCCTTTTTTGCTTCGAGCATAAATCACCCTCCAGACAAAGTCTTGCTGGAAAGCTTTCATTGGCCCCAATTAAAAGGACACTCTCTGTAAGAACAAAGAGTGGATCAGCAAGGAGAAAATGGGCTGAGATTTGTCAACTTGCTTTCTGCTTGCCCTCCTAATTCCTCAGTTTATCACAGGAGAAGAACATGGATATTTGCAAGGTAGATTGTTTAATGCAAAGCCTGTGCTAAAATCTCTCTAGAACTGTAGGAAGGCTGTCTCTGGACCACACAGAAAGTCATCCCAATCCTTTGGAAATGACTAAATAACCCTTCCCAATAAAGGGCTTGCTCTGGACAGACCTGAGCCCAAACCATCCCACCCAAGGCCAAGCTCCCACTTTCCTGAACATCACTTGGCACCAAACTCTTCAGTCTGCCTGATGCCACCACAAACCAGCTTTTTTAGTCCCAAATCTGCTTTCAGGACAGAGCAGGTGAAATAGTTCAATTAATGCTGAATTTAAAAGGCACGTTTCACCCTGTGACTGATCCCTGCCATCACCACAAAAAATCCTGACTCTTCTGAACATCCCCCCAATCAATGGAGCAGCAGGAAGAAGGGAGCAATAACAAAGCCCTGGTGATGCAAAGCAATCAATCAACTGGAGTTTTTCAGAAGGAAATGAACGGCCCATTAAGGAGGAAGTTGTAACCTCAACATTCCTGTGCTGGGCCTGAGCCCCAGACTGCCTGGCATCACAGGGCTTTCAGCCCTGAGGAACGGCCCCCAGGCAGGGCTGTCTGCTCTGACAGCAGGAAGGGAGGGGGCTGGCACAAGGAAGGTGACAAATCTGCCCCAACAGAACCCGTGTGGCCGTGGGCACAGCAGGGAAGGGGGGAAGGAAGGGCCCTGCTGAGCCTGAGGAACAGCAGCTCTCACACAGTCATGGAATGGTTTGGGTTGGAAGAAACCTTAAAGCTCATCTAGTTCCACTAGGGACACCTTCCACTAGCCCAGGCTGCTCCAAGCCCTGTCCAACCTGGTCTTGGACACTTCCAGGGATGGGGTAGCCACAGCTTCTTTGGGCAACCTGTGCCAGGGCCTCCCCACCCTCACAGAATTCCTTCCCTATATCTAACCTGAACATCCCCTCTTTCAGTTTGTACCCACTCCCCCTTGTCCTTTCACTCCAGTTCCTGATGAAGAGTCCTTCTCTGGCTTCCCCGAAGGCCCCTTCAGATCCTGGAAGGTGCTGTGAGGTTCTCCACACAACCTTCTCCTCTCCAGGCTGAACAGCCCCAACTTTCCCAGCCTGTCTCCATAGGGGAGGTTCTCTCTCCCCTTATCAACATTGTGGCCTCCTCTGGACTTGCTCCAACAGTTCCATGTCCTTCTTATGTTGGGGGCACCAGACCTGCACAATTTCCCCTGCTTTCTACTTAGTTACTGGAAGAAAAAGCACCAGCCTTTTTAATTCCTAAAGCATCATCACAGTTCACACGGACCACATCTTGCCTCTCATGGTCCCACAGCCTTTTGCAAATCTTAATTAAGCAAAACACGAAAAGTAGGTCCACAGCTCAGCTCTGATGAGTCTCCTGCACCAGGGGAATGCTGCTCTCCCCGAGGACCCCAAGGGCTGGGGCTGGCAGGGAAAGGAGCTCCACCACCACTGCAAAATCTTCCTGAGGAAAAAACATTCTCCTCAGCAGTGGAGAACCCAGATGGGGGATCAAAGCTTCCTGAACAAGGGACACTCACCCACTGTCTGACCCTGAACATGCTGGTTGCTCCCTGTCCTCCCAAACCAAGGAGAAGGACCCTGACACACATTCACTCACTCCACCATTCGAGCTCTGGATGCAAGAGGCAACACTTTCCAACTTCTTCCTGTATCAACCCAGGATGGGACCAGTAAGGACCAGGCTGATTCAGGCAGCACCAGTGGGCAGGTGCTGAACTGTCTGGTGCTGGATGGATGGACTGCATCCAAAGAGGAGTGGCCAGGTCAGGAGAAGGCCCTTGTAAGCCCCCCCTGCAGAGCTGCCTCCAGCTCTGGGGTCCCCAACACAAGAAAGATATGGATCTGCTATGGGGGGTCCAGAGGAAGCCACAGAGATGCTCCAAGGGCTTCAGCCAGGCTGGGAGAGCTGCAGGTGCTCACCTGGAGTAGAGAAGGCTCCAGGGAGATCTTAGAGGCCCTTCCAGGGCTTAAAGTGGCTCCAGGAGAGCTGGAGAGGGACTGGGGACAAGGAATAGAGGGACAGGACACAGGGAATGGCTTCCCGCTGCCAGAGAGCAGGGATAGATGGGATATTGGGAAGGAATTGTTGGCTGTGAGG